GCACAATGGGTGACTTAATATTCCCGTTAAGCTACGCTGGACCTAGGGGTGCCCTGAGGGTCGACTTTTCTGTAAGCACACCCCGAAAAACTTCTTTAGAAAACGCGTCGCCGCGCCGTAAAGATTTTATTTTGCCGAGCGGATTTTTTTTTTATTATTTATGTCCAATAACTAATCGATTCCACCCCAAACGGGACCTCCCCCCACCTTCCTAGTCAGGATCAAGGTCAATTAGAGGTCAGATGGAGAAAAGTGCATTAAATCAAAGTATCTCGGACTTCACGTTTTTTGGTTCGCTGAGTTTGATTCGGAGGTTAGTATGTTTGTATCAGGTCATTTTAAGGTTGTTTCAAGGTCATTTCAAGGTTAAATTGAGAAAAAGCCGAGCAATCAAGTCCGGCCACATTTTATACAGGATTTTGAGGTGGCTGAGGTCAATTTGTCTGTATCAGGTTATTTGAAGGTCGTATCAAGGTCATTTCAAGGTTAAGTAACCGCCTATTATGCACGTATTTGGAGTTGCTGAGTTCAAATCTGAGGTCAGTTTGTCTGTGTCAGGTTATTTGAAGGCCATTTTAAGGTCATTTGAAAGTTAATTTATGGAATAAACCCTGGAATCAATTACCGTTCTTATAGTCGCTGAGTTCGAGTCCGTGGTCTATTTACATGTATTAATAAAGCTTCAAGGTTATTCCAAGGTTGATTTGAGAAAAAGGGCTTTCGGCAAGGTCAGTGAGAGACGATTTCAGACCCCTCTGTTTTCGACCGAAACTAAAATTGTTGATACCAAAAATAGGTTATTAAAATCATTCGAGTTCATCTGAAGGAAAAAAATGAGCAGATCTTTTATCTCGAAAACTACTTATTTGACACAAAAACAAGCTGTACAAAGGTTGTAAGATTTGGCATGCGTTCCACATCAGTGATCTCTTAACCTCAAACTAGGCCAATCCTCCTTACTTTCAGTTAACATTAAGCAGGTAGTAGAGGACTAAATCGTTACATAATTCTCGTTTTTTTCTTGGTGCGACCTTTAAATGACTTTGAAATAACCCTCAAATGACCTGATGCAGACAAAGTGACCTAGGATTTGAACCCAGCGACCCCAAAATCCTGTATAACAGGTGGTTGGACTTGATTGCTCGGGGTTTTGTCAATTTGACCTTGATATGACCTTGACACAATCTTAAAATGACCTGATACAGATAAACTATCCTCCGAATCGTACTCAGCGACCCAAAAAACCTAAACTCCGAGATCATTTGATTTAATGCACTATTTCTCAATCTGACCTCTAATTGACCTTGATCCTGACTAAGAAAGAGGAGTGAGGTCCCGTTTGGGGTGGACAAAAATGGAGGGGTTGGAAAACCTAATTGACCATCTCCCTTTCCGAACGCATTTTGCGAACACCCTGTATAAAGAATAATTCCTATTAACTCAGAATAAAAAGCTGTTTAGAATTGTATCCCCGATGACCTGGCAAAGCAGAAATTGCGTGCGAAATCGCGCGCATGTTTAATTGCTAACTTCATTACTTGTTAGCCATGTATGTAAATTCCATCCATGCTAAAGCGTCGACATATTTTTGTGTAATTTGTTCCTTTATAGCCCCATTTGAATTTAACCCGGCAACGTGTGTAATTATAAACAATACATGTCCCCACGCAAACAAATACGTCGCAATTTGTGCTCTGTACTGTGTCGGTCGGTGGAAACGAAATGAGTTTTGAAATATGGTTTGCAAGTTCGTTAAGTGCCTGTTGACATCGATGTGAATATATCTGTCGATTCGGATTCAATTTGTGGAACTTTACGTGAAGGCAAATTGTTAATCGCTCAAAAGCCCTTCTGGAAAATCGGTTCTTGTTAACAGAAATGTGGGAAACGAGTTTTTTAACTTCGTGTTATAGTTTTAACTACTACTAAAACTGCGGTAGGGGAATGTGGGGAAATATTCATTACCTAAGGACAAAAAAGTTTAAACAGGTTCGTACTGAATTGTATTTCGCGGATTTGTTACTGTTTAGCTCGGTATTGACAGAAGGGTTTGAATTTATCTATTGTAGCACTAAGTAGAACGAGAATAAATTCGATATATCGCAGACACGTCGATTACTATTATAAGTTGTACTTTTGTATCAAATATATGCGAATGAAATACACAAAAATAAGTAAATAATCTGTTTACTCACCTGATGTTTACAGCACGAAACATACATGAAATCTTGTAGCTAATTTTCGAGTACTGGCACCAAGATCCTCTTTCACAGTGCTACAGTTTCTTTTACGTTGCATTAAAAATATACCATCAAACTTATTTGTCCCCATATCAGTCTCTCAAATATGATTGTGGTATTCAAATGAGACTTTGACAACAATATCGCACCACATAAGAAATGTTTCCCTATACCTTCTTGCTAATATATTCATTTCACATGGGACTGTTATTGAATGTATTTACTTGGCAAAGTGTAAGACAATTCTCTTTCTGCTCGATTGGCTGTCACATATATTCACACATTATAAGCAAGATTGCAGCTGAAGACAACTCCTAAGTATTTTAGCAGTCAGGAAACATCATGTAACGGAAGTATTTCGAACTACTAGCATAGTAGCAGAGAAGATATTCTCGTTTCACAAACATGAGCATAATTAATTTGATTTACTTTTCTAGTAAATATATGACAGTAACTGATATATGTGTATCTACTACATAAAATATGATCCCTTTGTTGCAAATGTACAATTACATTGTCATATCATTATCTTGGCTTCAAATTTTGATATTTTCCATTCAGTTAACTTCCCTTCTATGCAAATGAGTTACATCATGCTGAACAAACATATTTTTGATAGTCCGCTCTGTTGATTTTGTATGCATACTCCAAACAGAGAGTAACTAGCAAGCATATTACAGGATTTTATGAAAATATATTTGCTCTTTTAGTGAAACAAATTAAATTTTAAATGTTATGTAAAACCGGAGTGACAAGTGCTTATAGGATTTAATGGGGAGATGGTAGAATTTATTAGGATATTGGCTTTGCAATTGCTTTGTTTAAATTTAGTGTTAATTTATTTTTCTTCTAACAGTGATGGTGAATTAGAATATGTAGTTAGTTAAATAAACATGGAAAATATTCAGTCAATTAAAAGTTTAAAAAATATATATCATTGTCTTAGTTTGAAAAATGTGTACAGCTGTGGACAATAAATATTCACTATTGAATTCAACTTTTGCCTAGAGTAGTTATTGCCTGCAATATCAACAGTTAGGAATATTGTCTGTGGTATCGATTTTTAGTATTTGTTTGACTTCATTTTTAAGAATAAATTTTTTGAATTGACTTAATACGTTTCACTCAATTAAAAACCTATTTTTTGGAAAAAGGTGCTCTGATAAACATATAAAATTTAATTTATTTAATTGCATTTTAGTAATTTTTTATACGGTAAACTTTTATATAAAAATCCTATGACGTACAAAGTCAATGGTTTTTGTGACACGTGCGATATCTTAATAAAACATATCAAAGATTTACGCTTTCTTATTTCTGAGGAAAATTTGTGAATATTTCACGCAGAGCAGTAATGAGAATTCTGATTGTAAACACGTGGAATTATTGGCAATATATGAATAACCAAAGTCGATCTATCTAAAATATCATTAAAACAGCTTCGAAAGAGTGGGGATCGCAATAATCCAAACAAGGAACATTTCTGGAAAATCAATATTTCACGTACATTTCCATGTCCGTGTCATGTCAGGTTTTTTATTAGTGCTAATAATATCTCCCTTGGGAACATACTAACGAAAGAGGGCTGCAAAAAAATCCACTGCTTGTTTTCATAATTTTATTAGTTGGTACTGTAAAGGAATATGAAAATTTCCATCCCCTAATTGGTTGTAGAATGTCGTTTAGTTTTCTATACCTTTCATCCTTCTATTGTCAAAACAGAATTAACAAAGCAGTACACAAATGAAAGGAAAGCCTAACTTTATCTGTTATATATTTTTCCATGGTAATTGGAAATAACAATAACCTAAAAATAATTCCCTTTTACTAATATAGTCTGGTTGTCATTACTGTGAATGCAATTTTTAAATAATCATTGATTATGGATTTGTTCTATTAATGATTCCAGTTTAGAAATATCAAAACTGAATAAAATCATCTGGAGCAATACGTGCTAGTAAATAACAATTAATTGTACCTTAAAAAAAGAAAATATTAGCATGTTTGTTGTAAATAAATTAATATATTATCCTTTTTCACCTTCTTATAATTCTTTCTCGAGGACCCTAATAAAGCAACTGAATAAGAAAAGGATAGTCTCTGGACAATTTACCATCTCGGATAAAATATAATTCTTTGTTCCTTTTCTTTTCCATTTTAATCCTGTAAGGACTATTTATTTACTGGATGGTTTGAGAAAGATTTGGTTTGGGAATAACTATGAACTGTTGCAGCTTCTTTGCTAACATCGTAGCATTGTTTCAGGTGATGCTCGCTCGAATTAAATAGAAAAGTATTACAAATTCTTCAAAAAAGACTACAATTTTTACCTTCCTATACAGGGTGTTTTACAAGATCTACGACAAACTTTGACAGATCGTAGCTGGGTTAAATTCAAACATTTTTTCTTATATGAACATAGGTCCGATTTGTTTTTGTTTGCTGTTGTTATAACTTGTTTATTAAAAATTAAAAAATATATCTGCTTTTCCGAAAAGAAAGTTTACATTTTTTAAGGGTAGATTGAAATTAAAAATTATAAAATTCATTCATTTTCCTGCTTATGATTTTTTTAGCCACCCTAACTCTGTTAATTTTAATAGTACAAGAAAGAGTCAATAGACCATTTTTATGTAGAATTTTATGCCCTACAACTTTTTTTTCTAGCTTTTTCTCCTTTTGAGTTATCTTGAAAACCCCTTTATTTTATCTTTCGGGTTCAAGTCAGGTGAAAGTCTAACCCTTTTCTTTTTGTTTCAGGTTCGAGGCATGCAAAGGCATCGACGGCAGAGGACGGAGCAAACCTTGCGGAAAGTTATACTAATGTATTCGCCCAAAAACTTTCAAAAGAACGATATGAAAACAAACTCAAAGTGCAGTGCTAAAGAGGACATATAAACTTTCCAAGTTTAACATGGATACCCAGGGAGGCCACCCTCCCTGCCACGCAGCGTGGCATCATCCTAGTTTAACGCTATTTGTGACTGCTATGAAACTAAATTTAATGTGTAAATTTGTGACAATACTACTAGGAAATAACGATAAATCTGTATAATTTAACTCTCAGATATGTAGGTTTTCCTTTCAGATGAGTATATAATCAATAAAATGGTTTTATTTATTTAAAACTGGTATTTATTTCCGCCATCATCTACGTAACTGTGCCCTATTCAGTATTAAGTCCAGTAACAGCGATCGAACGTCAACTCAAATCAAATAGTTCTTCAAGAATACTAGTTTAAGAAATAACAATTAAATAATGCACTGAATTTGAAATGAAATGGAACTATAACAGTTTTCAAAACACTCGAAAAAACGCATTAATTAAAATAGATTTTCTCATTTCCCTTTTAATTTCTCGCTTCGAAACAGGTACGCTTGGCATACGGAATGATTTACTTTTAATTTCGAACTTAAAAGTAGTTAGAATTTCTGTAAATATCCGTTTAATTGCAGATACATGTTGACAGGGGATTTTTAATTGCGAAGTTTAATATTTACTCGGGCAAAATATTATGAAGCGGAAAAATAAATAAACCGGTCCCGGTGATGTGGTTCAGTGGGACGGGATAATTGAAAAGTTTGCAGTGTGTCAGGACCACTTAGGACGTGTACAATGTAAATACGCAGTGCCCAAAAAAAATGTGTGAAAGAGAGAATCAGAATAACAGAATTTTTAAATGCAACGACAGTTTCATTTCTACTTATAATCACGATATTAGTAAACGAAGAAGAGAAAGTTTTAGTTACTATTACATACAGGGTGTTCAAAAAGTTTGGAACTCCCCCTCTATCTGACCACGATCATGACCTTGAAAGTCATTTAGAGGTCAAGTTGAAAATTTTAAATGGAACCGTATACTTTTGACCCCGGAAATGGAAAAAATGGAAATGTTTACGTTCGGATAATGACTTTGACCATGACCTTCAAGGTCGTTTACAGGTCAAGTCGATTTTTAAAAAATGACGCGATATTCTTCGCTCTTTTCATTTCCAGAATCAAAAGTATACGGTTCTATTTAAAATTTTCAACTTGACCTCTACATGACCTTAAAGGTCGTGGTCAAGGTCACATTAGATCGTAAAATTTTCCGCTCTTACCATTTCCGGGGTCAAAAGTATACGGTTCCATTTAAAATTTTCAACTTGACCTCTAATGACCTTCAAGGTCATGGTCAAGGTCACTGTTGGATTGCTCACTCAAAACCCTGCAACTTTTGTCCTAATAATTTTTTTGTTTGAGCAGTATTTTCAGAGATAGAGGAAGGGGTTCCAAACTTTTTGAACACCCTGTATAATGTATGTGTAACCATTTAACTTATTAAATTTGACCTTGAGAGATATGAAAATAGAACTACATATAATTTTATTGCCTCCTGTCTATCTAATACAAGCGAGCCCAACCCTCTGTCGCAACCACCAGACATATACCGGTTTCCAAACCATTAGTTTTCATCAAATGTGGTAGGTTATACATGATATGTTTCATAGGTTATATGTCATCCACACAGAATTGCATATAACAAATAAATTGACAAGAGAAATTAAGCCTGATCCTAAGAAATTTTGCGAATTGATTGGATCAAATAGAGTCGGATTCAGCGACCCCAAAAACGTATAGACATATTAGTTTACTTTGTTGGCAATTGATTTTCTACATTTGACCTTGAACTAATCTTAACTCGGGCCAGACGGACACCAGATTCGGATTCAGCGACCCCAAAAACGCGTAGGTATGTAGGTTTACTTTGTTGGCAATTGATTCTCTACGTTTAACCTTGAACTGACTTTGATCCAGAGCCAATCAGGTCAAAATGACACCGGATTCGGATTCAGCGACCCCCAAAATTTGTTAGTTCTTGTCAATATGCGGTACATTATATATGGCGTTTCATAGATTATATGTAATCCACACAGAATTGCATATAACAAATATATTGGCAAGAAAAATTAAGTTTGACCCTAAAAAATTTTGAGAATTGATTGGTTCACACAGATTCGGATTCAGTGACCCCAAAAACGTATAGACATATTGGTTTACTGTGTTGGTAATTGATTTTCTACATTTGGTCTTGAACTGACCTTAACACAGACCTTATCGGATCAAACGGATACCGGATTCGGATTCAGCGACCCCAAAAACATATAAATATCATAATTTTAGCTTTCGAACCTCCCACTTTTTTTGTGGGGCTGTGTTATTTATTGCTATTTCCTAGGCATTGCTGGTATAATTCAATGCTTATTGGAGTATGTAACCCACGAAATAATTGTTTGAAATATGACACATAAAAGAGGTCCCAAAATAGATCCTTGGGGTACTCCCTATTTATCATACCCTACAGATGGTATTCCGTCGCTTGTTTTCACTTTCTTTCAAATTTTATAGAAATAATGCTACTGTAGGATCTTAAAAAGGACAAAAATTAAAACGAATGAATGTAGAAACATTTTTACCTCACTTGAGAGTTATAAGACAGAAACATTAACAACTGATATTATTACATTTTAACGATATCTTAATTCCCGTTTTTCCTCAAATCCATCCACTAAAGTATAATTACAAGGCATCCATTCTGCGTCCAGAGTTATCGACTGCTAAGTCTTAGAGCTATTACCGCCACCAGATTAAAATCTACAGCGTTTGATGGGAGGATCAACCCTTGGCGTAAAGTGGAATTACCACTACATTTCTAGGGCAAACAATGTAAAATGATAACTGGATTGGCCGTAGTCTCTCTCGAACGCGAAGAGGTTTATACGGCACTTCCAGTTAATTCCTCTGGTAAATTAGAACTAAAATAGCCCGAAACAATTTCACAGTAAATGCGAGCTCTAGGTTACTTTTAATATCTATGTCTGCACTGAACACCAAATTTAGAGGTTTTTAGTTGCTGTAGTAGACCCATTGTAGCAAAGTAGTTTAGTTTCGGTTTACGGCCAAATATGAATGTACTGACAAACTTTAACGACGTTTCAAATTTACATGAGGACTGATCTACTTCAAATATGTTCTGGATAAAATTATCACTAAAACAAGAACTACTGAAAAGTTTAATGTTCCGTTCTAATGAATATCTTTACTTTACCTTGTTGTGCGAAGTATACATTCATATTGCGAATACTACAGAGATTCCATTCATGACGTCATCTCAGTACCTATCTAAAAAGAAATCAATTCTTTAAATACAAAAGTGGATTTGTTTAAAAGCTCCGGTTTGCATTGCAACCTGATGGGAATCGTTTCGTTTCACCTTGTACAACTTTCTCTTCGACCAGGCCTATTCAGCTTCAACTTCGTGCATTATATTCTTCATCGATTTGATGCCGATGGTATTATACTACGGCACACATGCACTGTACCTGTATTACATGATAGAGCCGGTATGTGCACATAATCAACATGCGCTACATACCGCTCCATTATAGAATACAATGGTCGCTAAACTGATCATTACTTACTGTTTAGTAGAGCTGAAAACTTTATGGCATAGACTTCGCAAAATGCTGACAGGCAAGTTTGTGGCTTATTGATTATGAACTGGATATTGTGTAGATGAATATTTCATTTAGCTGGAATTAAGGTGGAATCCATTCTCTACTTAACTGAACAATGTAGATACACATGATAAAGAGTACGATTCTCTAATTCCTCAACTGATAAATACCATTTAATATAAAATATGTATAATTTATTGTACAACAGTTTTTGAACCAGTATCCCTCCAAACTTGGAAGATTTTGAAGAGCCAATAAATCGAGATCCAAATACTCATTTGCTAGAAATATTTTATGCAAATAGATATTTTTTTAATACTTACCGACTTACCAGAATAATATGAGGGAACATTTTTGGAACCCCTGTCTCCGTCGATAGCTCCGCTCTGTTGCCTACAAATGTTTGCACAATTGCAGTTCACAATTTTACAACATGTTCAAAAGTGGCTAGAAAAATTAACTATACAGAAAACAGTACAAAAAAACTCTATCTACAGCCAACTATTCACCACGATTCCAAGGGGTTGTCAATAAGTTTCCACAATTTTATGCTTTTATTAATAGCATTATCATCAAAAAATAATCTCCAAGTTTGTGAACGCTCTGTATTGTCATTTATGGTTCTACATATAAAAAAAATAATGTTCAGATGGTGGAAATCGGTGAAGAATGAACATGTACCATTTATCATCGTTTACGAAGATAGGTGAAATAAAGAATAATAATACATGATTATTTCGCAGGGGTTCCCTCAAATCGATTTTGACAGCATTATCCTAAAAGCTAAAATTGGATTTGCGTAGGTGACTGGCTTTCCGGAGCTATTTCCTGAAAGTAATATAATCTATGTGGTGTAATAAGATTACATTATTCTAGTTAAAGTAAAGTAAATATTATTCTGGTATAACGCTTTCTGTTGGCTGCGTGGTTTCTATTAAAATTTAAAACAGGTCGTCATAATTTCTAATTTTAAGCAGAATCCGATTGATATGATGCGACGGAATAGTAAAGTAGTAAAAAATAAAATGTTTTGTGTAGTTTAAAAAAGCATGTATTTATGTAAAAAGCATATTATACAAATCAAGAAAGAGTTGATATGTCTAGAGCCTATTATTTGTCAGGAGTAAACGATGTTGTTGCAAGATGATCCCAGCTATAGGGTGTTCCATTAAAAAAATCTTTAATTTAACGATTTCCATTATTCAATTGTTTTTTCTAATACTGTATTATATTCATAATTCATAAAAAAAGCAAAAACTTTTTTGTAATTTCAATATAGTGGAGTCGAGATAGCTTAAAACTACGCATTATTTCGGAATAATTATGGGAAGCATGGATTTTCCTAAAACCTTTTGAAATTACTTGGAGATAAGTATTAGAAAAAAGTTATAAACTTATTTTTGTACGCTAATTGTTTTTTAATTGTTTAAATAATAATAAATAGTTTCTTTAAGAACATTTAAAATAATTCAATGAATTTTAAATCGGATTCTTTCAAATTGACAAAATAGGGGTTTTCAATGTCGCTG